AGTGTAAGAAGTCATGCAGAATTCCTCCTTTCAACCACAAGCCAAATACTTGCACATTTGAACATTTCCGATATTTCCAACAGTAGATTACAAAATATGCGTTACAGGTTACGCGTCAACAAGATCCATTTACGAGAAAACACACCACTGGACACATTCTGCAGGCAACATTTAAACTTGAGACAGACTACCTGACTTGTGATTAAAATGAATGTTCAAAAGTCACAAAGAGAATACTGCATAAAAACTGCAGATGCCGAACGTGGGTTAAGGCTTGAATATATTACAGTCATTTGTCTATATTTGTATAGCATAAGCAAGAAATGAAGAAGTAAATCTCTACCGCCCACGTAGTAGGAAATTAGGTTATTATCAAGAATATATATCAAATCTTTCATACCTGGCATTTACCGTATAAAAAGCCTTTCCAGTAAAAACGATAAGAAAAATGATTACTATTTTTTTCCTAGAATACAATTTCAAAATATGCAAACTACGTTTCAAATGGACGTAATTGGTAAATGGGACTGCATACCATGGATAATCTACGGAAGCATCAGACGTTAGCATTCTGTATAAAAATAGCATCACCTGTGAAGGAAATCAGGTGAACAGCATATGCTAAGCAAGCTGCAGAACAATCTAAGCTTTCGGGGAGGAGCGCTGTTCTATGGAACAAAGCATCGTGGATAATTTTTCTTTAGTTGGATGTCACTGACTTTTACGGATTATCTTACGATTATTAATATTCAAGGTAAATATGGGATATGTTTGGTTTATCCAGAATATCTTATTCGGGAGCCCCACTACTGAATACGCTCCCTGAACGAGAAGAATCCGTCCTGCTCGAACACAAGCGTCGCGTGTCTCTCCTCGGTGGTGCCCAGGATGACGGCCCTGCACGTGTATCGGCCGTTGTCCCCGACCTTCAACGTCTTCACCGTCAGCTGAGACTTCACGAAATGTCTCACCCACACCTTCTCTTCGCTCACTGGGAATGAGAGTCATAACGCACCATTAAACTAGATTATATAAATATGTCAGTTTTAATACTGATGAGTTTAATTTGTAAACTTAATTATATTTTCACTATACCTTGTATCCGATATTTTTCCGATTCTTCAATCACATGGCCATCTTTAAACCACAGAACTGTAGGCTTGAGAAGACTGCCGGAGGTGCAGGATATATCAATATTGGAACCCCAAGGAAATTTCCAAACGGAATCGCTGCCACTCAGTCGGAGGTCAGCGGACAAGGGCGCTGAAATTGATATAAATTGTACATAGTACTTTGTTAGGTAAACTACTTGTATAGGCAAACTTCCATACAGTAATAAGTGAAGAAAGAAAAAATCTATATAGACATTACATTACCTTTAGCTATATTTAGAAGGTGTGGTCCATGGGCGGGCAAGTGTTCCACGAGAGTACAGGTCCGACAGCAAAACCTTGCAATGTAATCGGTGACGCTACACTCTGTACTCAGGTACCTAACACAGTCATCATGGTCGATCACATCAGTGCAGTTGGGGTGAATTATAACATCTGAAGGGAAATGACGAGTTATTCAGATTATCACAAGGACAACATTTGTGGGAATCATAGTTTAGGCTTGTTATCTGCGTATGCATTTAATTTTTCCATTCACACGTTGCTGATAAAGTCTGGAAATCCTCAGGGGTAATCTAGAACTTCTAATGATCTTTGACAGATTCAGCCCTTACCATGTTTACTTTACTGTACTAACTCTTACAGAATATTATGGAATAGCTGCTTCAAAACAAAATCAAGATCAAAGTGAAGATATTGAAGAACACTCCTTCTGTGAACCTCACACGCTTACCTGTCACCTTAACCCTTATCTGACTGGTATCGGATCCGGCTTCGTTTGTTGCGTTGCAGATGTAACTCCCGCTGTCGCTTTCGTCGGCGTTTTTGATTGTTAGTGTATCCACTACTGTTGTTAGTAGTCTATCCACCGAACCATTTTCTAAGAAACCATTAAGAAATTCAGTCAGTAATTAAAAAAAAATCCTTAACATCTTTTATGAATGCAAAATATGAACGCGAATGACGAATCGAAATCTTTCATTATTCGGAAACTCAGTGGGAACTAAAGTTTACATACCCTTCCTCAAATATTTGTCAGACTCTACAATTGTCTCGAAGTTCTTGTACCAGACGATACCAGGTGTCTGGTAGCCCTTGGCCTGGCACTGCAGGGTCACGTCCACCCCAGCTGGATACAGTTGGTCCCTTGACGTAATGCGAGCTTGGATAGGGGCTGTTGGAAGAACAAGTCACATCTAAGTCTACGTTTAGTATTGGTTGTGGACTTTACATAACTTTAGTAGGAATATTCTTTCTGTCACACAAAGCATCTAAACTTAGACAAGGAGTGTCTAAAAAATAAAAAGGCATAAGACGATAAGGGTTTAAGTGGACCAAGTAAGTTTTCAGGAGAGCCAAACATAAAACTTAGATGAAAATTCTCAAAT